AGTTAATGAAATCTATATTCGATTGATTTTTCCCAAGGTATTCATTTGGACTTGTAAAAGATTTAGCCGCGAGAATAATAGAAGTTGCATCTATATACATGAAATTGTAAAATATATAAATGTTATTTGCTTTTTTGAAAATTACAAATTTTTTAAGCATACTGTAAAGAGCAATACTGTTGATTTGGAAGCATTTATCTGACAAATCTGAAATGTTGATTGAGTTCATGAAGTTGAGCGAACTCGTAAATGGAAAATTTTTTAAAGACGTTTTTACATAATTTTTTTCAATGGCGTCGAACACCAAACACAATGTAATGGACAGTCCTTTGATCTTAAATGTACGTCAAAAAATTTATTCGTGATTATTAAAAAAACCTCATTAATATATAATAATATTGAATATACTGATTTGCAAATGAAATGAGATGAAACAACTTCCCACTGAATGCCATGTAGTGCCAAGTGACCTCTCGGATAAACGCGAAAAACCTCGGCTACGATTTCACAATGAATATTTCTGATGAAATTAATAACTTATTTTTGTATCTTTGCTGTTTCAAGCTAAATTGATTATCCAACTTTTCTTTAATACATTTTTCCAATTCCTTAATGTTCATGCCATTGTCCTCTTGTTCCAAATCAGATATCTCAGGAAGGAATGGATCCCGATATTTTTCGGACGGTGGATTTAGATATGGATGTAGAATTACTTTGCCATCAGAATTAACCAGAAATGGATACATATTTGAGTATAAATCAAATAAATCAATTTCAGAAAACAAATCATAAACATTGAAATCGATGCAAGCAACTCCCTTTAAGTCGGAACCAGTCTTTCTAGCTTTGCATCTTGATATGATCAGTCCTTAATAAATATATGTTTATCAGCTTCAATATACCAATTTTGTAATAATTATTCATTTGAACCTACCTAAACTTGTTTGGTCGTAGTAAGGATTGGTGTGGTAAACTCCTCCATTACTTGTTGTGACCAAGAATTTTTGAAAGTATTCATTCAAAATAGATCTTACATCCGCACCAGCATTCATCCGTGCAAACATGTTAATAACTTCAGGATTCTTAATATTACATATGAATAAAATATATATATATATAATCCATATATGAGAAGTATATAGGTAAATAAATTGTCATATTGCACAAAGTTGAAAATTGTAATAACTAATTAAATGATCGTTAAGTATTAACTTTAAACAAACAAAGAATTAACATTGTAGAGACTCAGTATATTTATATATATATATATTTGAGCATCTCGCTACATACACAAAGTATCAATTCGAATATCGAAGACGGTTTAAGATAACCGAAGAAAGCTTTTTTGTTTTATCATGCTTAAATGTTCTATCATGCTTAAATAAAAATTTTGGTTGTGAACTCAAGAAACTTGACAATGATTACGA